GATGGATGGATGGAAGGACGGACGGATGGATGGATAAATGGATGGATATGGGCAGATGGACGAATATATGGATGGACAGACGGACGGATGAATGGATAGATGGGTGAATGGACGGACGTCTGAATGGATGGACGGATGGCTGGATAGATAGTTGGATGGATGGATGGATGGATGGATGGATGGACGGACGGATAGATGGATGAATAGACAGACACCTGAATGGATGGACGGACGGCTGAATAGATGGTCGGATGGATGGATGGATGGATGGATATATATATATACAGTTACTACAGCTACAAAATATTACTAAATTACAACTATATTACTAATAAAAAACAAATTAAAAACAACAAAAACTACTAAATTATCTGAAGAACTGAATAGAAACAGGGGAGGCAAATTAACAACAATATTAATGAATGACAACATTTTTTTAATGAATTAATAAATAAAACAAGTAAAGCACCACAAAATACAACAAACTAAACAAAAATTTGACAACAATAGTAATCTGTGTACATAATTTGATAGCTTAAAGTGGTTCAATAGGCTACAATACACCTACAGTAACTGGACTAACAAATACAGTAGGTGCCTTTGTATGTATGGTGCTTGGCCCCTAAAACACAGACATCCCAACTAGGGAAAAGTCAGGACATAGTTGGGGTTAGGGATGGATGCGTGATGGTTCTTGAAAAGTGGGTATTGGGGGGTGGGGGGGGGGGTATTAGGGGGAGAGGGGTGGGTTGAAGACTGGGGGTGGATTGGTTCGCGACTTATCAGGAAAACCAGGGTTAGGGGGGTGGCCTGGGGTTGAAAGGTGGGTATGTGCGGTTTTGTTCATATTTGAAAGGGGAGGAGTGGCGGGTGGATAATGTGACATATTTAAAAAAAAAGGGGGGGTATTAGGGGGAGAGGGGTGGGTTGAAGACTGGGGGTGGATTGGTTCGCGACTTATCAGGAAAACCAGGGTTAGGGGGTTGGCCTGGGGTTGGGAGGTGGGGATGTGCGGTTTTGTACATATTTGAAAGGGGAGGAGTGGCGGGTGGATAATGTGACACTTTTAAAAGAGGGGGGTGGGGGGTAATTTGAAGAGCATGGAGGGATTCGAAGAGAGGGGTTTGCAATGTATTTGAGGCCCAGGGGGGAGTGTCTATGCATATGCTTCCGGGAGACTTGGGATGTCTGAAAACCACACAAAAAGAGTATTAAATTTAAATAATAAGAAGAAAAAAACTTATTTCTTCTAGTGGCTCAGTGGTTAGTGCTGTCTCCTCACAGCAAGAAGGTCACAGGTTCGAGTCCCAGCTGGATCAGTTGACTTTTCTGTGTGGAGTTTGCATGTTCCCCCCGTGTTAGCGTGGGTTTTCTCCAGGTGCTCCGATTTCCCCCACAGTCCAAACACATGTGCTATAGGTGAATTGAATAAACTAAATTGACCGTAGTGTATGAGTGTGTGTGTGTGAATGAGTGTGTATGTAAGGTAAAGCATCTACTTCGTAAAACATAAGCTGTAATAGTTGGCAGTTCATTCCACTGTGGCGACCTCTAAAAATAGACTATAATGATGTATCTCATGGCTCCTTTAAAAGTAAAGTCTGGCTCCTTGGTTCTGTTTGTGATGTGGACAGGACAATGCACTACATTATCTGTCAGCGTTTGAGTTATGAGTTGGCACCAGAACCATTTCTCTCAGATTCCCGCCCCAAGTTATTGGAGAACAAATTTCGGGATTTGTAACCACATACATAAGCGTAATGATAAAGATTATACTCCTGTTTGCCATCTTACATAAAGGCTTTGCATTGTAAAACTGTCTAAGAGATGGATGAGACGAATCATCTACCTCCTAATCTTCTCTTTGGGCCGTATTCATTTCAAGCTCTTGACAGGATTCAAAATGTTAATGCGGAAACTCTTGCGAGTGTGACTGTAACGGATGTGTCGTTTCTGGAAAACATGTTTGAGTCGCAAATACACAGCGGAAGCGTAAAAAAAGGTGGCTGTGTGTGTTTTGTGATGCACTAGCGATTGTTCGGTGGCTCATTTGTGCTTCATCTGCCGCTGAGTTAATTACTGCCTCTGCTGCGAATGCCAATCAGCACTGAAAGCAAATCGGGCCCAAAGCGCGACCCTGTGGGACCCCGAATAAAGTCATAGGAGCAAACAGGGCAGCTTTTGTGCTAACTGGAACACATCATTTCCACAATGCGAGTTTTCTCAGCTTGATCCATCTGCATTTACTTGATGATGGTTGTTAATGCTCATTTTGCTCATTAACATTACATAATGATGGCAGTTATGGGACGGGAATGGCATATTTTGTGTTATTTGAAAGCAACTGCTTCAAATTTGCATGAATATGCTGCTAAATGAATGACGACAATAACAATAAAAATTCAGTCAAAGAACTAAATACAAGAGACAATGCGTTTAGACAGCAGGAGAATGGAGCCTGCGGCCAACAATATATCATACAATTAAACCAGGCTGTAAAAGCAAGATTTGAGAGTGCTTTTTGATCAACAAAACTAAAAAAAAAAAATCTCTAAATGTCGAGGAAAACCCCCACCCCCACAACATTTGATCTGAAGATTTTTTTTCTTCTTGTGATTGACGCCAATGTGTTCTTCCTCAATACTTTTTTTTTTAATTGTTTTCAAGCATAAAAATGCAAATTAAATTAGTTTAAAAGCAAAATGACAAATATTAATTTATGCATTTTGTTTATTTAAACTTAAGCATCTCTGCTAAAAAAAAACAAGAATATTTATTATGTTTTATATTCTATCAAATACAAAACAATTCAAATATATATATATATATATATATATATATATATATATATGTATAAGCAGACACATAGACACATTTTATATTGTGTTTATACAAAAGTTTGAGGGCATATTGTGTATATAAAAACAAAATCAAACACGAAGAGGCACAAACAAAAAAACATTTGTTTACTTGTTTACTACTATAAATCTATATTGTCAGTGTTTAGCTGTATGTGTGTGGACGGAGAAATACACAAACGCAAAAGAGACTGCGCGGGTGCGGATATTACTTAAATATATCACGGCTATCAGCCTCTAAGATTCTAAATCCACACACACATGTATATATATATATATATATATATATATAGACCCAAAGCTCCATATGTATATCTGTATAGTTAAAAAGCAAAATAACAAATCAAATGAGCAAGCCCTATTTTCATATTCATATATATATATATATATATATATATATATATATATATATATATATATATATATATATATATATATATATATATA